TCTATATTCTTAGTTTTAATTATATATTCTGGATTTTTAATTTTTAATTCACTTAAAATTTTATCTTTTTCCCAGTATTTTAAAACATTTTCTCCTATTATTTCTATTTTTTCTAATATAGATATTAAATTTTCTATTTCCTGTTTTGTTATTAACATATCATAAATCTTTTCATTATCAATTAATTCTATAGTTCCAAATAAATTATCTTCTTCTATAATTTTAAAATTTATTTCTTCTAAATTATCTTCTTCTAGTAATTGACATTCTCTTTCCTTTTCACACTTACAATTGTTATTGTTACTACTACTGCCACCACGCTTCTCTATGCACTCTGATGAAAAATAAGTAGTCTGTGTGGGTGTAAATAATGTATGTTTTTGTAAATGTAGAAAATCTTTAGTAATTGTAACACTTCCATTATATTTTAATAAAAAACTTAATACTATAATAAAATCTGTATCCTTAATATTCAAAGGTCTAACCCATACGGATTCTTTAGGTAAAGTATATTCTATACTTCTACCACAATTTGTCTCAAAACTAATTTTACTATTTGATTGTAATAATTCTATGTAAGTATATAATTCTCCATCCATTTGTTGTGCTTCTATTGGTTTTTCTGAATGTATTATGTATTGTTTTGGTATTAATTTCTTATTAATTATACAATTACTACATCCTGAGTCTATTAATCCTAAACACTTTATTTCATATTGTCCTATTCTTATATAACATTTTACCTTAATACTTTGAAGTTTTTCTGGATTACATATTACCTGAACATATTCTTTTTCTTTATATTCTGTACTTTGACTTTGTTCTTCTATTTCTATTATTTTTCCTTTATTATTATATTCTAACATTTCTATTTTATTTATTATAAATTTTTGCATTTCTTATAAGCTTTCTATTCTTTTTCTAAGAATTTTTATTTCTGAAATTTCAATTTTTTCTTTTAAAATTTCTGGGTTAATTTCTTCTTTTTCAATAAGGTTCCTTTCTTTTAAACATTTTATACATGCTTCTTTATAACATTTTAAACATTTAGCTCTAAGCTTTCTTACTGGATACCAATTGCATAAATAACAAGCTATATTATCTGCTCCTTTATATTTTTGCCAATTATGTAAACATTCTATAATTATGTTATTCATTAGATTTAGTTCTTCTTCTGATTCTGATTCTTCTTGTAATCTTATGTTAGAGAATTCATCTATTATTTCATAATCAGATTCTATATTTTCTTCTAAATGTTTATCTTCTATTAATATAATACTATAAATAGACTCTTTGTCTGAGATGTATTCATCTAATCGTATTAACTCTTTATTAGTACATTCTGTTAGTGTACTTTTTTTATCATAATTATTTATTCTTTTTGGACATGTCTTAGATAAATGTTCATTACTATTACAAACATAACAGTTAAGTCTATTTTTATAAGTTATTTCTGGTTTAAATTTCCTAACATGTCCTTTTTCATCTAAATATGGTATTCTTTTATTGGATTTTCTAAGAAAGTATCTTTTCTTAAAAGACCTTTTATTATTTCTTTCTTTATTACTATATTTATTTTTTCTTGAACTAGAGGCTCCATAAGTTTGTGGGGTAAAAATATCTTTACAGAATTTATAATCTGTCTTTTTAAGTTATTTTTGAATTTGTAATTCTACACATTTATTTTCTAGACATCTTATTACATGTTGTATTCTTTGTCCTATACTCCATTATTTTTCTGGTTCTTCTTTTACTGATGCTAAATTATTCCATTTATCTGTAATTTCTAATCCTAATGATCCTGGTAATTTATGAAACAGTTTATTACCAATTTCTTGATTAAATGTATTTCCTGATATTGAAATTAAATAATGATATTCATTTAAAATTTTTTTAACATATCTTCCTTTAGTCCATTTATAAAGAATAAGTTGTTCTAAATCTCTCATAACTTTTCTTTGTATGCTCATATGTCCTGAATTTGGGTCTGCTCCTGTTATTAATATTTGTATTTTATTGACAAAATTATATGGATTACTTCTCATATTAATTAATTGTTCAAATTCTTCTTTCTTTTCTAATTTAAATGCTTCCCACATAACTTTTACACTTTCTCCTAAGAATGTTACTAAATATCTATACATGTCTAAAGCTTCAATTTCTTGAAAATTTCTAATATAATGTCCTATTATAGTATTTTTCCATACATCTATTCATTATTCCATGTCTATGGATCGTGTGTTGTAATATTTATAATTTGTGTTTTATGATCTAATTAGAATTCTATTTTCTTTTCTAAGGGTCTTTCACTTCCTTTTGCTATATATTTTCTTTCTTTATTATTATATAAATGATAAGCTCCTCTTGGGGGAAATCATCCACCATAAACCATTGCCTCATGTTTAATTGTTTTATCAAAAGGAGTATAACTAAAAGTTCTATATGTATTAGAATCTTCCATAAGTTCTTTTGTATAACTTAAATCTGAATTTTTTGAATCATTATTTTTTTTAATAATTTCTATTCTTATATTCTGTTCTTGATCATAATATAAATATTCAGATTTTGTTATAATCTTATTAAGATACATTTGATCTTCAAGTTCTAATAATTCTTTATTATCTAAATTCATTCCTAATTCATTTTCATATATATACTGCTCAATATTCCGTGATATAACATGAAATAGTTATGAAAAAAACATTTGTGCCATCATGGGACGAAAGGTGTTTCTTCTACTATGATGAATAAATGTTACCTACGAAATGAGGTGGGGACTTTCTTCCCCATTGTACCTTCAGCCTGAGAATTCGTAATATATTTAGGAATGTAGACTTATGAAAAAAAGATAGAAAGTGTATTCAAATTGCCAAAATTTCAAACTCATACACGTCTTGCCTTAGGGGTATTTATAGATGTTTGAAATCATGTAACTGATGAACAACTATCGTGCCATGTCCCACATAGCATCTTCCAATACCCCACGTTATGAGTGGAAGATCTCCACCTATCCAGCGGTTGATTGTGTCCATGGTAACCATTGAACGGTTTCCATCAAACTCAAGGATATTTATATGGTTAAGTACAGTGTTGGCCTCGTAGTAGTAGGCAGCCCCATAATGATATACAGTCTAGTATGAATTTAGAGGGCATCATAATGATAGACGGTCTAGTATGAAAGTAGAGAGCCTCATAATGGTCGATAACCCAACGTGAACATAAAGGGCCTTGTAGCAACTGACAGTCTAGCATGCAAGTGGATGGCCTTATAGTGATAGACGGCCTAGCATGGGGTGCTCTCTGTAGAGCGCCTATTGAGTAATATTCACCTCGTTGATCATTGTAGATAATTAGTGATGCCATCTAATATCGTAACATATTAAAAGTATGTTTAAGTATTTGAATTTTTTGTCTAAGCTTAAGAAAAGGGAAAATTAATGTTGATTTATTTTTTATTTTTATTTTTTGCAAATATATTCTCATAACTTATTTTTTCTTACATTTAAGCATTATTTTCTTATATTTGTGTCAAAATTAATAACTGATTTTTAACTTGAATTAGCAAAAAAGTGATTTAGTTTAATAAGTATTTACTTATAAGCAAAATTTTCATTTATGCGATTATCACATTTCGATGATTTGGATAATTTCAACATATTTTTTTTGTTAATTATTTGTGAAAATTTACCTTTAATTAAAATAATTACTTTCGAGAAAGTAACTCCTAAGTTACTAATTAGAATAAATGTTATTAATTTTAAAACTTGCCCATATACTTAAAACTACAATATTTATTTTTCTTGTAAATGTAAGCTTACAAGAGTAAAATTGGTTCATATTTTAATATTTTACATTTCTTACTTTAACTAAAAATATTTGTTTTATTATCTACTATTGTAAAATAATGAAATAATTATTGATAATTAATTTAGTATTATCATGACACATAGATAAGTCTTATCTAATTTAGAAGATATATTTCATTCCAATTGTAACTCTTATTTTGGACTGTATAAATATAGATTATTGGTTCTTAATAATACGTACAAGTCTATTGACTCACAGTATCTCTTTTATTTCTCTCTTATCATAACATGTTATTAGCACGATTTTCTCAAAATCAAAGTGATTTAAAAAGCTTGATGTACTCCTTCGGTCACCTACGGTATTCGGTAAACTATCTTCATACCACCACATTCACATTATTAATTTTTTTCTTCACCTCAATTTCAACACGTGTCGACATCTATCCCCAATTTCTCGAGTAGAACCATATTCGGAATTTGTAGAATATCTAACATAGGTCCAATACTTGGCTGGTACTCATTATCAAATTCAAATGAATTCGGGAACTTTTTAAGCAATAATGCTACATAGCCACATTCATTGACACAAAGAATGACACAATGAGGTGGAAAATGGTTTTAAAAAAAAGAGAGAGAAAGGAAATGGAAATGGAAATGGCGCAGGCTGGTGTTTTCTGGGAAATTTGAAATTTTTAAAACCATTTGCTTCGACCCGGCCCGGAATTTAAACCCGTTTCTCTGTTAAAACCCGTTCACAAGGCTCAGCCCATTTCATTTTCTCATTTTCACTTCGAATGACAACTCGTTTCTAGGCATTTGGAACTCTTCGTCCCCGTCTTTGGCGTAAATCTTCAGACCTCCGCCGACTGTAATGGAAACGATTACCTGAGAGCTTAGGCGAAACGCCATTCTTTCTCTCCTGTACATGACGCATGAGAAATACCTATTGTGGCTGGAAGAGAAACCGAACTACAGTGGCTGATAGAGAAACCCATTTCGTCGTTGTTGAAGAATCTTAATCAATAGGTATTTGATTAATATTTCAGGTTAATAAGACGCTTACTATGCATATTTTGTAAATCCAAATTTCTAACTTGTTGATTGCGTCGTCTGCATCTACTAAATTGAATGAAGAAGGCTGGCATTGGGAAAAGACTCCACAGGTAGACGATTGGGGTGTTTTTTTGCCGAGAGATGACCGAAAAAGGTATTGCTTTCCTTCTCTACCGTTTGGAATCAGGGAATTTGTAATGTGATTTTCTCTCTTTTTCTCTCTATACTTTTCTTATTTCAACAGACGTAATTAAGAGGATTACCAAAAATATTTTCATTAAAAAAGTCAGTATTTTGTATTATCACTTGTTATTTCCCAATTATTAGTATCTACTTTGTGGTTTTAATTTCTCCGTTCAGTTGTATTTGAATACTTTTATTCAATTTTCTTGACTTTATGCCAAGGTTATCTCCAAATTAAATGCCAACATGCTAAGCAATGACAGGCAAATTCAGTGTTATTTTTAGAAAATAATTGGTAAGAAGACTTAAATTTTCAAAACAGATTTCGTTGGCTCAAAATCAAATCATTTGTTTGCAATGATTCAAGAATAAAGAAAAGAAATATTTTTCTCCAGATGAGAAATCCATTCCTCCAACAATTTCAAATGTTAACTCTTTGCACATTGCACTATAATATCGCAAGTAATTTGTTGGTTTTAACATCCTTCTCTTTTAATATTCATTCCTTCATTTTTTGCTTCTTTTCGTTTCGATTTGAACCATTATATTTTGTTTGATGAAGGGAAAGAAATTTCGGAATATGTGGATGAAATTGTACCGCTGGAGTCCGATAATGAGGATGTTGTGGATATTATGAACATAGCGGGTGATGATAGGTTAGTTGGAGATAGTGTGATTGTGCCCGAGCCGGGTATGAAATTTAAGGATGAAAATGAAATTTTCGATTTGTACAAAAGATATGCATACGAAATTGGTTTCCCGGTTAGGAAATGAAATTTGGTAAAGGATGATGACGGAGTTTTGAGAAATGTTATATTTGTTTGTAGCCGTGAAGGGAAAAGAATAAAAAATACAAGCGGTTCTTTGAAACCACAAGCCACTATGCAGAGTGGATGTTAAGCCAGGATCTGCGCGTCCAAAGATGTTTGTGGAATATGGAAGATTAACAAGGTACATCTAGACCACAATCATAAGACAAGCCCTTCAAAGTCTAGGCTATATCGATGTAACCGAGAGTTGAGTGCACATGTTAAACGAAGACTCGAAGTGAATGACATGACAGGAATTCCATTACACAAGAGCTTCAACTCTATAGTTGTTGAAGTGGGTGGGTATGAGAATTTGAGTTGCATCGAGAAGGATTGTCGTAACTATGTTGAGAAAGTTAGGCGTTTAAGACTTGGACAAGGGGACGGATCAGCACTACAATCATACTTCTCTAAAATGCAGGCACAATGCTCGGGCTTTTACTTTAGTATAGATTTGGATGAGATTTGCGTCTAAAGAATTTTTTTGGGCAGACTATATGAGTAGGCAAGCATATAAGGAGTTCGGAGATGTTGTCACATTTGACACCACATACCTCACTAATAAGTACGATATGTCATTTGCTCCTTTTGTTGGAGTGAACCACCATGGACAGTCGACACTCCTTGGATGTGGTCTGGTCTCGAATGAGGATACAGAGACATTTGTCTGGCTTTTTCGAACCTGGCTGCAATGCATGCATGGACAGGCTCCGCATGGGATAGTTATAGATCAGGACAGGGCTATGCAAAATGCAATCCAGATTGTGTTTCCCAATGCAAAGTATAGATGGTGTTTGTGGCACTTATTGAAAAAGTTGCTTGAGAAATTCGGATACCATGTGGATAAGGGGTCTATATTCACTATTATACAAGTTTGGTCTACGATTGTCAGTTTGTAGAAGAATTCGAAAACGGCTGGAGAGTGATGGTCGAAAGGTTTCACTTGTATGATAATGAGTGGTTGGCGGGTTTGTACGAGAACAGAGAACGTTGGGTACCTTGCTATCTAAAAACCACATTTTGGGCAGGGATGTCAACTACTCAACGCAGTGAGAGTATGCAATGCATTCTTCGATGGTTATGTACATTCAAAGATGACGTTGAAACAACTTGTTAAACAATATGAACAAGCACTGAGAAATAAGGTTGAGAAGGAGTTTCAAGCTGACTTCAAGTCCTTCTCGCAAATGGTACCGTGCGCATCGAGATATGAAATTGAGAAGCAATTTCAAGTAGTTTACACAATTTCAAAATTTAAGGAAGTTCAAGAGGAGTTCACAGGTAAAATGTACTGCAGCCTTGTTTCTTTCTCTGATGGAGTATCGGGGGCAACGTATGAGGTACGGGAGGATGTAATACATGACGAGCATTCAAGAAAAAAAGCTTTTTTTTTCACATTTCAAAGAGACAAATGTGAAATCAGTTGCAGTTGCCAGAACTTTGAGTTTCGAGGGATTATTTGCAAACATATGATCGCAGTATTGGTCCGTAATGATGTGAAATCTATACCCGAAAGATATATATTACGGAGATGGCGACGAGATGTGACTAGGGCCCACACGAGGGTACCAGTGAACTATGATGGTTTGATTAGTACGCTTTGGCAACTGAAGTACGACAAAATGTGTCAACGCTTTGCTACATTGGCCGATCTGACAGCAGAAGATGACGCGAAATCTGATGCAATAATTGATTGGATTGACAGTTAATGTCAAGAGATGATGGAAACAAATCATAGTAAGAGTAATGTCCTCTCCCCGCATACGACTCAGACATCATTCCAATGTGGAGCATTGCAGGATACTAGAAGTGGTAACATAAGGGATCCAGAATGTGTGAAAAGAAAAGGTGCCCCGAAGAAACTTCGGAAGAAGAGCCCATTGGAAACCATTTCAAGCAAAGTTAAGGTAATACTCAAATGTTGCATATTTTCAGTTGTTGCGAACTCACTATAGAGATAATGTCTAACAACATTCCTTGTTTTGCAGGCAAGTACGAGTTCTACCAAATGGAAGAAAACGAAGGTTCCTAGAAGTGATATGGGAATGGTTGTAGCGCCCATTGTCCAGCCACCTCAGCAACTGCATGTGCCGCTACCGTTCTCCTATACGAACCTCCTTCTGGTTAGCATTTGTTAATCATTTGATTTCAATGATAATGTACTATTTACTGATAATGCTATTTTGCGCAGTGTGGGAACCAAAATCTTCAGTTCACACAACACTTGCAATCCACGTGTCTAAACCCTTCATCGGCAACAACTCATACATTAAATATGCAAGGTGAATAAGTTGTTATGTATAACTTAGTGCTTTGCAAACATTGTTCATTATGTATATTGATTCGCATCTAATAAACTACCTTATGTGGATTTGACATTCATAGGTTTGGGAATGCATTTCGATGGAGGAAACACGGAAGCACCTACGGAAGTTGGATCGTCTATCACATTATCAAACCCAAAAGATGCACCTACTGCTCGTTTTGTATAGTTTATTGGTTGCATTTCAATAGTTTGTAGTTTACTCTTCATTGTGTACTTGCATAGGTTTGTATCATTTATGAAGAAATCTATCTATCTTGTATCTCCACCAACATACAGGACTAAAATTATGAAGAAATCTATCTATCTTATATCTTCCAATTGGCAAATGTATCATCTGTTTGGTTTTTACTTTGTCTTAAGTTCACCAACTCATAGTAGGAGGTAGGATTTTGATTGCGAAATCTTGCTAGAAAGGAGTCTCAATCACCAGATCTCTTATATTATTTAACTATTTTTGCAATTTCTTCAATGTTTATGGTGACAGTTTTGGCTTCTGATCCTCTTTCTGATGCACTTTTGAGCTTCGAATCCGAGATTATTGATGATTCCAACAGTTTAAATGATTGGATCATGCCTTCCAGAGTGAACTCTTCAGGGACTGGGGTGAAATGTAGTCAAGATTTTTAGCCTTACCCGTCTAAAATCCCTGCTGGAATTTCTAGCCTTACCAATCTAAAATCCCTTGATATCAGCAAGAACAATTTTTCAGGCCATTTTCCAAATTCCAGAATTTGGTTGTTCTTGATGCATTCAGCAACAGTTTTTCAGGACCTTTACTGGCCAATATATCTGAAATTCAGTCCCTCAAGGTACTGAATTTTGCCGGAAGTTACTTCAGTGGACTAATCCCACCAGAATATGGTTCATTCAAGAACCTTGAATTCATTCATCTGGCTGGAAATAGTCTTAGTGGTAACATACCTCCAGACCTGGGGAAGCTGAAAACATTGTCCCCAATGGAGAAACAATGGAGAGACTATACATCCAATCTTGACGCTACATAACACATCCTATTTTAATTAAATTCTTGTCTTCTTGAAACTATCTCGACAGAGTAATATACGTTTGTATTGAAATTGCTAAAAATGCACAAAATGCAATTGAACAACAAAATGCTAAAATGCAATTAAACATGGTTCACACAACATAATAGATTCAAGTGAACAACATTGGAACACTAGTCCCATCACAACCTAGACAATTTCATTTACATAGTTGGAGTTACAATTTCATTCGAAACGAATAAACTTCAGCTCAGGCCGACGACTGTCCATTCTTCTCCCATTTGGTGACGTGCTCTCCTCGTTTGCGTAGTCACGTTCATAGCAATCTCCATGTCTTGATCACCAGTTAACCGGCATCGTGTTTCGAACATGCAAGACAAATCTTGAGTGCTGGTGACTGAACTCGATTCAGCACATGTTTCCTTCTTTTCCACCCACTCCCAATAACCACATTTCACGCTGCACATTTCGAATAGTTTGCCTTTGTTGTCAGTGTTCTTCTCAACCTCGAAACACTTCAAAAAAGCATGTTTACACCATGGGCAAGGTCGTTTATTCGGGCATTCCGCGAAAAAATGTCCCTTCAATCTACAACTATGGCATACTCCATAATTCTTCCCTCTTATTTTAACCTGGGAATCAAACGCCAAACAAAATGATAATCGCAGATTGAAATGAATTAACAAAAGCAAATAAACTAATCTCTCTGTCTGCAGGAAACATGTGGTTTGGTTTTAACAAGTCTTATAGGTATACTTATGTTCAAAGGTTGGAATTTCTCACAAAGATGGCATTGTATCAATTAAGTTAGTCAGATGACTTAAAAGCCAGCATAACAATATTTCAAAAGATTGAGTAACATGGATGCTGTAGTAGTTTTTATTTTGCATCACCCCAACTGAATTTCACTACTTCACTGATTCTCTTCAACTATATTCTATAGTTAGTTTACCCATACTAAATAGATGGTTCCCAAAATTCATATTATAAGAAACACGGGCAATGGGATGAAGTTGAGAGAGGCGAACAATTTTTATGAGCTGTCTCTGATCAAGCTTTACAGTAAAATGTTGAGGCCAATTTGAGAAATGATTCATTTTCCCAAAAAGTAATTATATTTGCCTCCGCCTATATACTATTTACTTAGCAATTGAGAGAAACTACTTAAATATTCTATTAGAAAGACCTAAATTCAAAAATCACCAAGCTAGCGAGTATACAGAAGGATCTAAACACTGTCTGCATTATAACTTGGTATTAGAGACTGATTATTATGTAGCTAAAAGTTATCTAATTCATATCACTGCAGAGAAATTGGCATTTTACGACAAAACCCTAAAGGAATGCTCTGAAATTTAGGGTTACGAATGGGCCACTTCTTCATCGTTTCGGACAAAATTAAACAAAACAGAGCGGTACACAAGGTATTTCAACAAATTTATTGAAACATGAACTTGATACTTATATACCTGCGCTTTCTCTAGATGTGGTCGAAGACGATTTCCGGTAGCAACTACGAATCAACGAGAAGTGCCTGACCGTCTTAGAACTGTTTTATTGAGTATGTCGACAGCACTGAAACCGTGGTTTTCGACGGCGTTTCACCTAAGCTCTCAGGTAATCGTTTCCATTGCAGTCGGCGGAGGTCTGAAGATTTACGCCAAAGACGGGGACGAAGAGTTCCAAATGCCTAGAAACGAGTTTTCATTCGAAGTGAAAATGAGAAAATGAAATTGGGCTGAGCCTTGTGAACGGGTTTTAACAGAGAAACGGGTTTAAATTCCGGGCCGGGTCAAAGCAAATGGTTTTAAAAGTTTCAAATTTCCCACAAAACACCAGCCTGCGCCATTTCCATTTCCTTTCTCTCTCTTTTTTTTTAAAACCATTTTCCACCTCATTGTGTCATTCTTTGTGTCAAAGAATGTGGCTATGTAGCATTATTGCTTTTTAAGATGATATATACAATTTTGGTCAATCCATGAAAACCTTATAATGCATCACTAAAGTTTAAACTAATTAAGGCTACTTCTGTACACATCTCATTTGCATTTTTTTATCGTTTAATATCAAATTTATTTTTTTTTGGTCAAGCTTTCTGATATTAAGTGTGTGTTTGAAGCACATTATTTCTAAAGAATATATTTTGGAATAATAAATTGATGGAGAATGTGTTGTTGAAAAATAAAAAAGTTTTGAATTTGTGTGTAGTATTATTTTATTGAAAAATATATGATTAAAATGATGTCAAAATTACTATTTAAGAATATTTTTTTCCCAAACAATGCAGCTCAAATAGGGCCTAAATAAAATCAGTTTTGCAATATTGAAAATTAAAAGTAAATATGCATACTTTTAACTAAAACCTCTCAATTAATTATATTAATTTTTTATAGTGACTAATTTAAGTATTTAATGTGCCATTTTATATTGGTTTCACGCACGTGTTCTTTGCTTTACGTGTGCCAAAAATATACGTTTATGATGATTACTGAATATATTTTGTGTCTTTAATTTGATTTAATATTTTTAGATATTCTTTTATAAACTTTAAATTCATAATTCATCATGTTGTTGTTCCTAAAATAGCATAATATTACAATTAATATTCTAAAAAAATATTATTTGCTTCAGAAAAGCATAAATTATAATTTTTAATATTTCAAAAGAATATTGACATGTTGCTCCTGAAAAAGTACAACTTTATAAATATTATATTACATAGAAAATATCCTCCTAAAGAATTAATGTTTCTAAATAATAATTTGTTGTTGCTTCTGAAACATTATACTATTATTTTTGTTTTAGTAATATTTTACTTGCTCATGTTTTTATTCTTGAAAAGTAAATTCTTCTACAATTTATTATTTCAAATATTAATATGTTATTGCTCCTAAAGAGCATGATACTATGATTTCAATATTTTAGAAAAAAATATTGCTCTTAAAGAAAACATACATCATATGTCATTTGTTTATCCCTGAAGTAATAGATAAAGCGTAATTTATGAATTTGTGTTTATCCCTGAAGGAAACATACGGCATATGTCATGTGGACATTGATCATTATATAATTATATAACTTTTAATCATATTATTTGAAATTAAATAATTGAATTATATCTTGTATTGAAACATAAGTTCAATTTGATTGGTATGATCAGTTGGACCACCACTGGGTCAACGATGGTGCGAAATCAAAAATTCAAATAAACATCCAATGAAGAATCAGAAGACTCTTCCATCCAAGAATTCTTATATGTTATTTTTCTTCTCTTTATTGAAAATTGATCATTAAACATCACTAGCCAAAATAGGGACTGAATTCCCTATACTTCTGAAAGTTAATCAGGATGATAAATGGGGTTCCTTTATCCTTCACG